ATACACATACACTTAAAGGACCACTACAGACACCCAGATCACATCAGCTCAATGAAGTGGTCTGGGTGCCAGGTCCCTCTAGTTTTAACCCTGTAGCTGAGAACATAGCAGTTTCAGAGAAACTGCTATGTTTCACTAAGGGTTAATCCTGCCTCTAGTGGCTGTCTCATTGACAGCCGCTAGAGGAGCTTCCGTGATTCTCACTGTGAAAATCACAGGCCTCTGTCCTGGGAGATAATTGGATTACTTCCCAATTATCTCCAGGACAGAGGGAGGGAAGTTAGGATGCATTGTGGGGAGGTTTTACCTCTGTGTGTCTGTCATTAGTTCATGTCGGTCCTTTGTCACAGTCTCCCATTTGGTCCCCTAGTGGAGTGTCCACCAGGTGGGAGACCTGCATAAATACTGGGCAGGTAGCCCTCATTACCCTTGACCCTCAACACAGAGCTTTGTCTCGTTCTTGGGGGGGATTTACTGTTTGCTGTTAGAGACTGATTGCCAGGAGTGTAAGCCGCTTGGGTGCTTTTCCTGTTCAGCTGCTAGCAGCTATTCGTGAGGTTCCAGTTCGGGAGTTTGGAGTGCTACTTGGTATCCTGTTCGGGAGTTTGGGGTTCTGCAGTAGCTGTGCCTGTGTCTCTGGAAGTGGAAGATCTACAAAACGGCGGTTTAACCCTTTTATGCCTGAGGGTGCCGTTACACACTCTAACACTAACACACACACACTCTAACACACTCACTCTAACACACACACTAACACACACTAACACACACACTAACACACACTCTAACACACAGATGCACTCTAACACTAACACACATACACTGTAACACACACTAACACACACACACACGTTTTTTAAAAAATGTAATCCCCCAGCCTCTTTACTTTTGGGAGAGCTGAGGGGATTCCCTGGGGTCCAGTGGTGTTGCTGGGCGGCCTGTCACCGGGCAGGCTGGGGGGCGTGCGGGTGAGGGAGCACTCTCCCCTGAGTGCTCCCTGTTCAGCTCCCTCGCGCACCGTGTATTGATGCCGGAGCCGGAATATGACGTCATATTCTGGCTCCGGCATCAGTGCGGTGCGCGAGGGATCTGAACAGGGCACATTCAGGGGAGAGTGCTCCCTCGTGCGCCAGCCCGCCCGCCCGCCCGGTGACACCATACCAGGTCATACATACCAGGTCGAAGGGCGGCCGGGCCCCCTGGTGGGCTGAGCCCGGTCACAGCCGCGTCCCCTGCGCCCCCGGTATGTACGCCACTGCCTGTGTGCCTGAAAAACGATGCCTGTGTGCCTGAAAAATTATGCTTGTGTGCCTTTGGCTTGGGAGGAAAGACACACAATGGGATCTGGAGGGGACGGACACACAAAACGGACCGAGGGGAAAAAGAGCCAAAATACACTAGAGCACAAAAGGGGTAATACATTCAAAAGGGGGGGTTACAACAAGACACAGGTGAAGATGCATTTTTTATTTTGAAGGGGGGTGGGGGGGCAGTAAAATGCATCTTCGCCTTTGTAGCTAAAAATCCTTGCACCAGCACTGTATGGGAGACATGTCGTGAGACCATTGTCCCTCTATGCAGATACAGTGTATGTGAGCGTGGCATATGCTGTCATTATGTTCCAGTCTATTATTTTTTTTACAGATTAAATAATTTAGCAGAATCTATGTTCTTTGTCCTATCCCCAGCCTGGAAATATACATTTCTGCAATGATTCATATTCTTATCTTGAATTCTAGATACCTGTTCAAGTTTGGATGGATATCTCACCAATAATTAGAATTACATATGGACATATCTTACTACTTGGCCCATAGTATATCTAGCACCTGCAGATGTTTCATACATAAGACCCAACTTTGGCCATTCCCTGCTAAGCCACCGTGTTTAGTCTGTTCCATCCAAGAAGCTGGACCTGACTGTTACTTTTGGATGTTCACGAACACATAAAGCCTAAAGATCCTAATGCTATGTATATCATGGCATTAACTATCTAACCTACTTATCTAAGGACTTTAGAAGACCAAGGATATGTCTCGACCTTTAATGCATTGTTTGCAGAGACTTTATTTTTTCTATATTTATTTTGATAGCTAAAAAAAAGTTACGTGCGCCCCATCCCAAATCCCTATGCTTATATACCGTATTTTTCGCACCATAAGACGCACCTCACCAAAAGACGCACCTAGTTTTTAGAGGAGGAAACCCAGAAAAAAAAATATTCTGATTAAACTGTTCCATAGTGTTTCTTACTATGGGACAGTTTGTTCAGAATATTTTTTTTTCTCCCCTGTCCCATAATGATCTTTAACCCCCCTTTCCTCTGTCCCATAGTGATTGTTAACCCCTCCTCCCCTGTCCCATAGTGTTCTTTAACCCCTCCTCCCCTTGTCCATTAGTGTTCTGATCCCATAGTGTCCCCCCCTCCCATTGTCCCATAATGCACTTTCCCTCCCATAGTGTCCCCGCCTCCCATTGTCCCATAGTGCACTTTCCCTCCCATAGTGTCCCCCCCTCCCATTGTCCCATAGTGCACTTTCCCTCCCATAGTGTCCCCCCTCCCCTTGTCCCATAGTGTGTCCCCTCCCCTTGTCCCATAGTGTCTCCCCCTCCCCTTCTCCCATAGTGTCTCCCCCTCCCTTTCTCCCATAGTGTCTCTCCCTCCCTTTCTCCCATAGTGTCTCCCCCTCGTCCCATTTTAATCATGATTAAACAATGTAGATACTGTAAGATAACAGTTCTCTGGCCATACGGATAAATAAGCAGCTACATATATGCCATAGTGTCTGCTGTATGTAATGTGAATCATAAATCTCCCTTCCCTTGTCCCATAGTGTCCCCTCCCCTTGTCCCATAGTGTCTCCCCCCCC